GGCACGAAGTGGTTAAAGGACTTCGTTGTGAAAAAAAGATCCTTTTCTCTCAAATTTATTTCTTTAAAATTTAGGTTTGGTCCTTTTTTTTGACAGAAAATCCCAGGAGAGTCAAAAGGAAATGAAGCTTCTACTAGACATGTACAAAGGAGCTGCCAAAGAACAGAGAGACAAAGTACAGGTCAGTGTTCCAGGTTTGATGCAGCGAAATAGCGCCCTGTAATGGTACCAGTTCAGGAATTACCGTATTTTGACCCCTTCAGTGACAGTTTAGAAGTCTTTGAAATGTGTTCACTGTGAAAACAGCTTGTTGAGCTCTTAAATCAAATTAGTAAGACGTCACCCATAAGTAACTATTTTCCAAATTCCACAAAAATTGTCTCAAGGTATGGCAACTCACACGCAAATGTAAGTTGAATGTCTTCTCAGTTGAGAGCATTCAAAGGTGTAGCACCTAGTTCAGTTGCAACTGAAAAGTGAAATAAAAATTCACATCAGAGTTCCTTTTTGGATGTCAGCTGATGACGGCTGAGAGAAGGGCCCGGGCCGAGGTGGAGGAGTTGAAATGTCGACTCCGTCACATCGAAGACAGGGAGAGAATGGAGAGTCGCAAGCTTGCCGATGAGGAGGCGATCAGGAAGATACGAAACCATGAGGAGACCATCCACCAACTGCAGAAGAAACTTGCTGATCGTAAGCAGGTCAGTGGTGACCGGGGCATGTGCAGATCCGGGCCCAATGCCCCTGTAACATAATGATGTCACACTTTGTTAACATATAGGCTTTTCTGTGGCCGTGAGGTGGCGCACATGTAAGAAAGTGTGATGTCATTATGTTTGAGGTCTTTTTCACTGAGCTGTTAAGCTCAGGAAGTTGCTGTGCACAGAAGATATTTGCTTAGCAGAACTAGGTCAAAGAGCCATGCAGTCTTTATCACTCGTGATTTGCGCTTAGTTCATAAAGTTGCTGAATGGCATTTTCTGCAGCTTTAAGAAATGGGGCTTGGCCAAGCGTGTTAAAAGAGAGTGCTTATGGTTTTATTAACTAAAGTATGCAATATCATTGGCAGATACAGGGGAGCGGAAATGGGAAATATGCCCCCTTCCCTTGAAAAAAAAAGGAAGGGGGGGGAGAATGAGAAAGGTAGTGATTTAGAGATAAATTCACTTCCTTTCCTCCCAAAAGCATGCTACAAAAATAACGTAGCGTTACCAAATTTCCAAATTTTTGGTACCCTCCCCCCCAAATAATTTGATTCTGGATCCACCATAAAGTGTCATCTACCCACCATATTATTACAGCAAAATTTGCAGTAACCAGAGGGTGCACTCAAGTATGTGATCAGATTGGATCATATTAGAATAGAAAAATTGAGACCATATGTACCTGCACTCCTGTTTCTCCTTAATTGCTTGAATGATTGACAAATAGGTTTTGGAGTTCAAGTATTTTTATACTCACATTTTGATGTTATTGTTTGAAGGAGGAAGAGGCTTTGCTGTCTGAGATGGACGTGACCGGTCAGGCATTCGAAGACATGCAGGAGCAGAACACAAGATTACTACAGCAGCTCCGAGAGAAGGACGATGCAAACTTCAAACTCATGTCAGAGGTGAGCCCATTATCACTTGTTGGTAGAATAACTTACACCGAAATATCTGACATTTCACTGTGCCCCAGTGAATTTATGTTGCATTGGTATCTCTGAAACATTCATGGTTCATTATTTGCGAGGATGCAATGTTTAGTGTACTGCGGTGGTGATGTTCTCTTTTGTGGAGTAGTAAGAGAAAGAATTTCTTCCAAGGCCTTGGAGAAAGCAAATGCTTCACTACTGGTTACTGGCCAAAGTACTGTGTAAGGTACAGTACTCGAGACTTGTTCTCTGCTCATTTCTGGGTATCAAACATTCCTGACTCGTTTTTGGGGTTGGAGGGCCTAGGGACATTTGACTTGAATCACAATCACAATCCGGTTAGCTCTGTCTTTAACAGTGAATACTCGTTGTTTCTTTTGACCATTCACAGAGAATAAAAAGCAACCAGATCCACAAGCTTCTAAGGGAAGAGAAGGATGTTTTGGCTGACCAGGTGGCAACCCTCCAGACTCAGGTCGATGCCCAGAACCAGGTGGTCAGGAAACTGGAGGAGAAAGAGCGGATACTGCAGAACAACCTCAACACCATGGATAAGGAGATCGCGCTAAGACAGCAGTCACTGGAGATGAATAGGAGGAAGGTAGGTTTGACCGTTGCTCGTCTCAGAATGTCTGGGGCGGAATTTCATTGAGGTGTGGAAAACATTGCTGAGCAGATTTCTCCGCCGACCAGAAATGAGCAGAGAACCAGACTCGGTAATGCACCTTATACAGCACTTTGGCTGGTAACCAGTCCTTGCTAAGCATTTGCTTTCTGTGCTTAACAGATGTGTGAAATCGGCTCCAGGCCTTATCAGAGCTTACCTTGCAGATTACCTGTAGACAGCAGATGCTGGAAATGAATGCAAGGATGGCAGGCCTGTGTCTAGCTTATCATGCAACATCTGATACTGTCTGATACTTTATCTGGACTTGTGAACATCCAAAGGAGTGTGGATAAAACTCATGCTGAGATGCTGTAGATGGTGGAAAATCTCCAGCCAACTTAGTATAGTTCCTTGCAGGCTCTTGATAACAGCCAGTCGGCAGCCGACCTCAAGATGCAGCTGGACAAGATAACGGGTCGCATCGAAGAACTCCAGAGTCTTGTTAAGGAGAAGTCCAGTGCAGTGGAACAAGAGAACCACAAATTCCGCAGGGCGCAGGTACAGTTGCACTAACAAAAACGGATACGAAATTTGCGATTGATTTCTGTTTCCACTTTTGAAACTTCTGCCCTCTGTTCACCCCCTTCTTTCTAATAAATTACATCATCGTAGCCATCACTATTGTCTTCAGTTTCGGGATCCTCAAGACGTTGATATTTTAGACAAGAAACAGTGCTTGGCCACTTTTCAAATCCACTGATGGTGGTTTAGTGTTCATTTTGAGACTCGCTTCTCAATGTTTTTTTTTTCTTCCTTTCTCAGGAGGAATCTCAACATCTTAGGAGGAAAGTGGAGCGATACAAGAGGATGGAGCTAGCCAGCAGTACAGACGAGGTACTCATGGAGGAGATCAAAACATACAAGGTAAACATGTTTGATTTTTGGTAGTAAACCTCAATGAAGCCCTCCAAAGAAAAGCAAAACAATCGTCAGATGTTTGCATTTTGACAAACTGCATTTTATTTTGGCTAAAAAAATAAACGTTTTGAAGAAAGAATAAAAATGGAACAATGAACTGTTAACAAAACTTGTTTGCAGTAAACGTTAATGTACAGATAATAAGAATGAGAGGTCTGAGCATTTGTCTGGGATATTAGTTTTTTCCCATTTCCAAGTCACTCTACTGCTTACTATTTTAAAGTTTTAAGTTAATTTCTTATAAATGAAAACAGGTGTAGGCAGGGTACACGAATGTCCCCCGAAGGTGAAATTGTGAACAAATGCTGTCAAAGGGCGTGAGTAGGGTCCCAAGAAATTGGCCTGAACCCAACAGTGCCAGAAATCTGTGATAACTCTGTGATTACTAGCTTGAACTCTGATTGTGATTTTTATTAAAGTTTGCTTTGTTTGCCAAATCCCCCTAGGAGCAACTGACCTGCCCATGTTGCAAGAAGGGACGGAAGGATGTGGTCCTGACAAAATGTTTCCATGTCTTCTGCTTTGAGTGCATCAAGACACGCTACGAGACCAGACAGCGTAAATGTCCCAAGTGCAATGCCGGGTTCGGGGCCAATGACTATCACCGCATCTGGCTATCATAGTTGGGCAATTGTTAAAAATCTGTTTAATTTATTTCATAGTGTTTCTGAATCACTTACTAAACTGGTGTATCCTTGCCCAAGTGAGACAATTGTGAACTAGAAGCCTATGTTACGAAATTGAATAAGGGGTATTAGATACATTACGTGAAATAGCAGAGAAACTGTGCTAACCCGTAGCATGTTTCAATGCATAAATGTGGCAGTGCTTGTGCATGCACAGTGAAGCTGAAGGAAAATGCAGCCAGTGAAGTTATTGTTGACATGGACAGGGAGTCTGGTGGCCAAAGTGTTAGCTGAGCATGGCCGTTAAAAACACTGAACCCACGTCTTTCCAAACAGTCGTTTGAATTCACAAACTCATATTCATGTGCCATTTCACTTGAGAGGACCTTGGGTTTCATCAGTGGATTCAGGCACCATGCCTGCAAACTGGCCCGGGGTCAGTAGACCTACATTAAGAAGTCATGCTTTACATCTGCACTTTCTTATGGCTCTGCCCAGCCTCCATAGGAAAGCGCACCTGTGAACAAAGAGTGACTTCGTCGTGTTCAAGATCTGTTTCATAGAACTGTTTAGCACAGAAAACTGCCAAGCAATGAAAATATTTGCTGAGCAAAACCACTTTACCAGCCAAAGTACCATGCAAAGTACTCTACTTGTGACCGGTTCTCTGCTTATTTTGTGCTAGGCACAGAAATCTGTCGAGTATTGTTCTGTGAAATTGACCCAACTGATGGTAAGAGTCTGTTCATTTTTTCCCATGACGCTGTTACAGTGACAAATACTGTTTATACCAGCAAGATTCCACGAGTTTGTTGGCATTCAAACTTTTTCAAATTAATTTAGCAGTTTGCATCGAGTATTCTGTGTAGTAAATTCATCTGAATCATGCACTGAAATGCAGTTTGGAGTTGGTAGCATACTTTCATGCTGAAAAAGATTCTTAATGAATTTTGAAAACCCAGTAAAATAAGATCACAGAAAATAAACCTTATGATTTCGTTGTACAGTGCCAATCACACCATTTAACTACGTTTAAGCGAAATGCTGATTCAATCAGTTTTATTGTGCAAAAAACTGGTAAACAAGTGTTACAGATACTGTCAACTAGTCACCAATATACACTGTCTAGCTCTGTTGATGTGAGAAAAATTCCAAAGTAGAAACTTTTTTGTAAATATCTAGACCATTTGTTTCAGGTAAGTAATTAATTATTTTTGCATACTGAATGTGTTATGAGATTGAGGCCAGGTTTTTTTTTCCTATCCATCTTTGGCCTGTTTATGTTATTTTTGTACGTCATACCAATCTCTTTATTGAGGTTAAAAAAATGGTTGTTGCTTAGGAAAACAATGTCTGAAACTACTGTAAATTGTGAATCCAAATTCAAGAAGTCATTGTTGAAGTATTTTAATCTTTGATGTTGTGCATAGCCAATGCCAGTGCGTGTAACTTTTAATGTAGCAACATATGACTTGCCAAGAATGTGCATGTATGTTACAGCCTGAACTGTCCCTACAATTGGCCATGGGAGACTTTTGAGATGTGTCATTCCATGAGGTTGGGGCATAATTTGTGACGGTGCCCATTGTTATGTGGGTTCCATAAAACTGAACAGCTATTTCCCTGCTTGTGGATTCCAAATTGACATTGTTATACATCTTGCAAGGCTAAATGCAGAGGGGTGTGTCATTTTTACAGAGTAAATGACCTACTCTACAGGTCATGACAGGTGGTAAAAGTTACCCATGTAACAAGAACACCGTCACAAATTGTGCCCCCAACCTCATGGAATGACCCAGACGCCTCGTGGCATCATTAATCAGTCCTGCATAAGCGATCTGCTATTCTTTGTGTCACACTTGAGCTAATGTGCACATGCCAACAATTGTTGACTGGTCACATAAAACCGATATGTTTGCTGCCACCAAGTGTCCTAACAGTTTGCCATTTAGTTTTGACCATGCTAATCTGCACGTAATTCAGCTCACAGAAATTGCTAGACCTGGTTAAAATAAGATCTGGTTTTACCTTAGTGCACAGAAATCAATTGTTTTTCAACCTTGCGGTTAAGTGGAACCTGCATTGCAATGTACAGTCTATTTCCAGGTTGTTTTGTTTTAAGTACATGTATTTGGTGTACAAAGTACATGATGTGTGCATAACATGTTGTCCATAATACGGTTGTTCCTGTGTTTTACTAGTTGATATTTCTTGATCACACACCAGCATCTGTTCATAAACACCTAGCTGTCAGGCCATGTTTGTAACCAGTCAAAACAACCAGAGAATCTGCAAACCGTTTGTGATCAGAATTACAGAATTTAAAGCATTTGGATATTGTGGGTCCGTGTACGTTTCATTCATTTGTTCTTTGATTTGAAAACGGAAATAAAAAACAAAACAACAAATATCGTCCATTTAATTTGAAAACAAAAACTTTTTTAAAAAAAGCCGTTTCTCGTTTTTCAATGAGAAAAAGACAAAGAAGTCATTTTTGTTTTTCATGTTGAAAACGAACGCAGTGCTGTTTAAATTATAATTTAGCCGCCTTTTTTGTTTGACTGCAACATGATCTTGAGGAGGCATTTCTCAAGATGAAAGTTGCCTCACAGGATGCCAGAAATTTCCCTCTAGGCTGCTGACATCTGTATTTCTTCAGAAGCAACAAATTCCTTGTACATGTATTCCACAAGTTCAGCCATGTTTGATTTGGTGGATTTAATTCAAAATGAGAAATGGAACTGTTTTTCATTCTTCAAAGAGTGGATCAATAATTACAATGTTATTTGTTCTCAAACTGAAAAACGAAAAAAAAATCATTTTTAAATATGAAAGACGAAAAATGACTTTAGTTTTTGATTTTCATAAAAAGAAGGAAAAATATTTGTTTTTGCTTTTTTATTTTTGTCAAATTGAACAACGCATGAACAAAACGTACACGGATCATTGTGGTATACATCAGATATCTTGTTACTAAAGCACTGTCTCTTCCTCGCAATGAATAAAGCACTTCATTTTGAAACACGTGTGATGTAAGTTTCCTTTCAACATTATGACACTTGTGAAGATTCACTGAAATGAAAACAAATGCTGCTGTGATGGCAGGTTTAGCCCACCTGATCATACAGGAAGCACTAGAGGTAAAACAACTGATCAAGATGTGCTACCAGTTAGTACCTTGATGAAAGCCCTGATACAAGAACACCTTGGTAACTGTGCGAAAAATGGGCAAGAGAGACAACATGAATTGCTGGTATAAGCAGGACAAACCAACATGATTCCCCATCAAGTTTTCAGGCATCGGAATGTCATGTTTATCCGGATGCCCACAACCTTCTTCCTGACTGGAAGGGAATGGTACCAGTAAACGTTAGTGGGGTAGTTCATCACCAACAAGCTTCCGTTCTCCAGCTCCAGTCTGATTGGAGGCAGGTTTCTCTTTGCGTTCTTGCCACGGGAGTCTCCATGGCGGAAGACGAAATCCCTCTGTTGGCCGAGAGAAAGGGATGCAATCGGACTGGTTTGCACCAATTCCTTCTCATCATCGCGATGCTCTCCCATGTAATCAGTCCCATCTTTGTACCTACAACAAATGAGATCAAAGCTATAAAGCATTGCAAGTACATTTCATCAGTACATTTTGTCCTTTCAAGTTTGCAAGAGCATTCGTCCTCACCTGTTGATGAGAACAAAATTGAACCGCTGACCTGTGACCTCTTCAATTCTGTCTCGGATTCTTTGAAGAAGTGGAGTCCAGGGCTTTGCTGGCACTGTTACTCCAGAATATTTGTAGGTCAGACCACTGTCACCATGTGCAACCTGAAAAAGAAATACCAAATCGACTTTGAGATAAACATGGAATGACCTATGCTTTGAATGGGTGATTAAACTTTTATCATTGTTATGTTGATATTACAGAAGCATATCGTCATTATAAGAGCCACTTGCAAAAACTTTTTTAGAGTTACTACCTCGCCGTGGGGAGATAAATCTTGTACAAGTATCTCGCCGTGGCGAGTTGTAAGATCTTGCCGTCACCTCATATTGATATCCCACTGCAGCTAATATTTCAATAGTTTCATAAGTCCTACTCAGCACATCATTTTCAAATGTATCTTTACGATATGCACTGAGATTTGGTTTTAGTTTGCTAATTGGAACAAAAATCAAAATTGCACAAAACATGACTCATTGTAAACAAAAACAAAAAATCACTTTCACTGTATGCTGTAATCACTGAATCCTTATTTATGCAAAGAGAATGTCCAAACTTATAAATTCGAATAAACTTTCTTACAAAAAGTAATCCACCACGGAATTTGTACTTTAAAGATAACCACACCTGTTTTCTTGGTATACTGTGCCATTTTCCGTACACCTGCACCCGGGTCAAATCCCCTGTGAAGTACTCCAGTTCGCGCTCACATGCATCGAACAGCTCGTTAGCCTTCCTCTTCGCATAAAGCTGCAAGTAATCACAATCTAACTTCTCGGCCGACAGTTTGCGGAATGGAATACCAAAGAACGGCGGGCATTTCTCCTTTTTCAGTTTCTTTGCGGGTTGCAGAAATTCATTCTGCTCACTGCTGCATTTGTCGTCCCTCGACCAGGTAGGCCTGCATGTGCTGATCCTGTCATTCATGTCATTAGTGTCAAGTTTGCGCTTGATACCACGAACATGACGAACCGACTCCGACTTGGCGGGACTTCCCTTTTTAACATATTTTGAGATTTTAGTGCACGCAATCGGTCTGAAATACTTGAGCATTTTAGGGAAAGTGGTAAAATGCTTTTCAGGCGAAATACCAATCTTTTGACCGACTCAATTGAGTTACTATATACTAAGTAAGCACTCTGTACATGCTGTCAAAAAGCCGACAGCATGCGTGATATACATATATATGTGCATGTACATGTACATGCACCTCACGTGTAGTAAACAGTGATCGAGGCAGAGACCAGACCCGGGGGGGGCGCAGAAGCACAAGGTACTACGGAGGCTCATACATCTCAAATCATGTCATTTAAATGAAAAGTTCAGCAAATTTGCATTATGCTGTGAACCTCCACTCGATTTATTGAAACTAAAAACCAGATGTTTTTCAAAACACAAAATTAAAATATTTCTGTTACATATATGCCATTTCTGGAAAACAGAAGTAATATTTAGCACATTTGTAATTAGATACGTTTTGTACATTGATCTCGCTACATCTCTCTTTGATATTTGATAAAACCCCATCAAGTCAAATTATTCCATCTTATAAATCAGGAACACGTTGCCTTGGCTGTCCTTTCTTCCAGAGGTGCAAGTAGAGTTTTTCTAACTATTTCTGGAAGACTGAATATTTTCTGAGTCGCACTTCTCACATTTGAAGTAGGCATGAGTGAAAGTATCAGGCATGACTGTATACAGAGACCACAAAATGACATAAAGCTACTGACACATTCATCTTTCAAGAAATATATTCGTAAATTAAAACTTTGTCAAAAATTCACAGAAGACAGTTCAAACTTGCTGGGATGGATGTGAAGGCGGACCTGCCACATGCTGCACCACAACAGTATTCTTGCGATTGGTGCCTTGTCTAAATGAGAATCCACAGCCACAGCCAAAAAGTGCTTCAAACGCGGCTACATATAAGAAAACATTAGTTTCAGGTGTGCCACAAACATCCATCTTTTGTCACTTTTCTCAAGCGCTCGAGTGGAGCATTCTATGCTTAAGAAGTTAATGCATGATGCACTGGAAATTTGACAGATCAGTGCAATGTACATCACAGTCAAGGAATATCATCCAGCTGAAACTTGCTTAAGCTAGGCAAAATTTGTATTCATCTAAATTTGTGGTTGACACTAAGACTCTGTGAAAATGACCCCATCATGAACAGAAGAGCAAGTCTTTCTTGAAATCATGCATACTGTTGAAGAGTAATTAGAAGAAAACAAAGAGTTTCTACTCTCTCACATTCTAACATCTACAGACTAGGTAACCAATAAACTGAAATGCATCTTTCAAAAGTAAAAAAATAATGACATAAAGTCCTTGTTTCACGTGTGATGATGCAATAGATATCAAACAGAAAAATGAAACTTTTAAATGATTGGCACTTGCGGATATTGTTCCAAAAGATTAAAAGCTCACACCGACAGTTCCTGAAGTTCCTCTGGCTCAATAGAGAGTACCGAAGTGACTACTCCATGCGCACAATTATGTGTGTAAAGATATCAGAGCGTAAAAAGATGTGTGCGTACTCCATTCGTTTACACTTGCACTTTCTAGTTCAAAATGACATCACACTTTGGTACTCTATACCGGTACACCTCCTCCAGAGGTACACATAGCCATAGCTTTAGCCATAGCCATAGCCAGTCATTCAGACTCAGCCACAGCCGATGAAAAAACCAGCTTTGGCAAAAACAAGACAGGATGCCAACTGAGAAGCTACTAAAAATCCTAAGGGATCTGTCCTCATCAGAGTTGGTGGTTCCTTTAATATCAGTGAAGTCCACAACACAGCGTCTTCAAAGGCATCGTACATATTTTTAGCCTACACAGAACAGCCTTCAGTGTTCATTTTTCCCAACCAAAATGTAAAACTTAGAATTGAAATAAAGTAAAGAAATGTATCTGATAAAATGAATTATAATTAGTAAAAGAAATTAAATGAGGGTCGTCATGTACATGTATTAACTGTGTGGTTTTTCTTTCTGACTTCTGAAGAAAAAAAACAACACTCAGACCTACAAATAACAACTTCCTTCTTAAGCTTGTGTTTTACATGCAATCGGGTAGGAATGTTGATTACGAAGGAGTGTATAGATATAAACTTGAACAATATACGATATCTACAAAAAATAATACAAGATATCTAAGAGATATGGATGTATGTTCCAGCTTTGTATATATTAATATCTGGTTTCTGGCAATACAAATGAGATGACTCATTGAGACACTGAATGTATAATTTTGAGCAAGTATTGACATGTCCATATGATTTTTTAGAGGGGGTCTGCAATCACATAGAGAGAATATCCTGAATACGTGACAGCCACAACCAATCAGAAGCCAAATAACCGACAAAACTTTGCTTTAAATAAATAACTAATTTCAGAGTAGCAATCATAGGGACACATGCCTATACTGTACAGCATCACTATACTACAATGAGGAGAACTTTTTCTAGATTGAATAATAAATTCACTGTTCACAGAGTGCTCCTTTAAACCCCAAATACAGCAGTTAGGTGTGTGATTTGATTATGTCAGCAAACTTAAGAAATGTCATTAAAGGGACACTCCGCTTCTCGATGACACCTGCTTTAACAGCTGTTAACAGGATATCCAAAATGCAGCATTTTCAACAAAATTTACACTCTCTTTCAATCACAATTTATGACAATATTTAGTCTAAATTCTCTATCCTGACCCTACTTCCAGCCCAAATTTTCAACTCAAATGAGTAAACAGCTTTCATTAGACCAAATCTAATCGGGACAGTATTGGAGAAAAATGGTTTTCAAAGTTATTCCATTCCACATAATACTGCATAATTTTAATTCAATCATTACTTTTGCCACTTGGCAATACATACAGCATACAGCATTGAGCACCGTTTCTGCATTTTGGTAAAAACCACTTGCAAAGACTTTTTGGATGAAGAAATTTGTGCGCTTATGCGTACAAAGTTATCAATTCGAAGGCAGATTGTAAGAGGAAAAATTGAGCAGATAGCTTATCTTAAGAGGTTTTCTAACTTTTAAAAAGAAGGTTTTTGTCTCTGGAGTTGTTAAGTAATATCCCATCCTCTACTAAAACTCTCCATAACTCTGACATTTGCATGTTAAACGACCCATTAAAAGACAAGGGTTAAAGTTTGATCACTAACTTTCCTTCCCTGGTCAACAACAGTAACTAAGTCATTCGGAAATATCGAAAAAAAAAATTATAAACTAAAAGTCTCATGTTATTATTGCTGAAAGCATCTCACCAGTTACAGACTTTTTACGCCTGCCAAAATAACATGATAAATAAACCTTTTGATTTAATGGAATCATATTAATTGTCTGTTTGTACTATTATCACATGATCCTGTATTACAAGAAGATCAATGATTGGTAAAAAATTAATAGATATAAAACACGCTAATTTTACTTTACACTTGAAGGCCAATGGTTACTCAAGTTTAAGTCGTGTGAAAGTAGTCATCCAATCTGATGTTTCTTTAGCAGTTTCATTAGCATAAGTTGACCAACTGGCTTGCAGCAGCCATGTTCATGCAACAATTGCAACTCTTTCACACAGTGCTTCAAATCACATGATAAAAGTAACCAATTAGAATTCGCATGAGCTCTCTACACATGTGCAGATGACCATTTAATTAGCCAATGATTGTCAGCTCCTTTTTCAGCTGGTGACTAGCTATCATCCAATCAGGTGATTCTTTTGATTGCACTCAACTGACCAGTCAGTTTAGATTATGTTTATTCCTCGGATTCATGCAGCCAGTTGTACATTTTAAAGTCAGTTTTTTCTTTCAAGTATGTCATGAAAGAGCATTCAGCCAATCCAGTACAGAAGTCTATGTTACACAATGCACACTGACCAATCAGCATCCAAGTTATCTGAATCCGGCTCGTGTAATTGGCTCAGAGGTGTCCATTGCCTCCACAGTTGAGGAAGTTGGTGATTTGGTATTGACAAGGTCCTCATCAAATGCAAACTGTGTACATGGTGTCTTCATGGGGCTACTGCAGGGGAAGCAAGGGCACAGGCCAGGACCGCAAATAAATTTGGCAAAGTAAACAAGCAACAAAGCAGAACGAGCCAAAGCGTGAAGAGAGAACAATGCAAAATGGAAAAAAACAATAACCATGGATTGGGGTAATACAACCTGGTGATGTACAAGTTCAAACCAAATGAGATTATGTGTTGTAAAAACTTTCATTTCCATAAGATCGCAGGAACCCAGAAATGTCTCTCTCATCTAAGTGACAAAAGTGTTCCAAATGTTGACAGAAAGCACTTCAATGCTATTCCTACCACATGTGCCAATGCACAGGTGCATTCACTTATAAATGTACATATTGGTGTACCCTTGCGTGCACATCACAAAAGAGAATTTTTCACACATCCTCCCTCCCATATGCACGAACAGATCAGTGTGCTTGTTATCCTTGTTGAAATTTTTTAAATATTCAAATGTTTTTTTTTTCAGGCTTCTCAGTAATCCCAGGTACTCAAATGAACAGTACACAGGCAAGGCATCACCCCAGGGTTTTTAAATTGGTATGTGCCAGAATCACAGAATTTGACATAATGAGCCTTAAACGGTAAACCAATTGGGAAACGTGTATGTGTCCTGTCAAGAGTTCATTTACCTGATGGGCGTGTGAGGACTCTGTCCCGTTATCTTGCGAGGTGACCTTGCTTTTACTACGTGAGGTCTTTGCATGCTCTCCAACACAGAGGGCGCTATGTACGTAAAACCCTGAAATCAGCAAGTCAAGAAGTAAAAACCAAGACTTTACTTTTTTTCTGGGAAAAGAAAAGGGAATTAGAGTGTAGAAATTTTCAAATGCCAAATGAATACAATCAGAAAAATTTCATGTGCTCAACTCAAGTATTACGTTTGCTTCAAGTGTCTATGAATTAACAGGTATTAAATGGGTAAACTGATTATTTACAGGCAATTTTGTCGGTATGCTGTAAATTGACTGTTGAGATTGATCGGTCACATATTGAACAGTTGTTACTCACAAGAAAGATCTGATCCATGCTCTCACTAAGCATGGAGTCATCAGGACTGTCCACTGGTGGCTCTTTAGTAAACTTGGTGTCAAACTGGCTGACGTCTTCATCATTGGCCTGTCAAGGAATCGCATGATAAAAAGCTCCATTTCAAGGGCCTTCAGTTTGTTTCCTAATTGAACAATTTTTCTGCCATTCTAATGCTGTTAAAAAATAATGCAACAAATGTTGAATACGGGTTGCTGTCCTACAAGCTAGTTTACTGGCAAGCTGCTCAAGGGAAAAACGAGGGGCCTCTGAACACGGGACCATGCAACATTACCTTTGTGCCTCACAAGGTGAATTCCAGTACCCTTAGTGTGAGGTTCAATTCCTCTCCTCATCATTCTGATCAGACACACCACACTGGTCAATAATCTTCCCTTCTAATCACAGTAATACCAAGCTAAAGGCAAAAAATTTGACTAGCATCGTGTACCAAGAAATGTACATAAACAAAACATTCCATGAGTGATTTGTTTCCTGTGCAATCAGTAGAAGCAGTTAACAAGTCCAAACGTCCTGTATATTGATCTAAGTAACCTTTACATCTGTACAACATCTTTCTCCAAGTTGAAAGCCTTGCTTCTTGATGCAACCTACCAGTAAAGGTTTAAAGGGAGGCTCTACTTTGGATGCCAGGACGTCATTCCAATTGACATGTCTGAAGAAGCTGTGCTCTTTGATTTTCTTAGCATCCTCTGGACCACTTCCAAGCCTCGATACCACAGTCCTCTTTAGTAACTATGACAAAAAGATCATAATTATGACTTCATTCAACGAGGGTAAAATTCCCCAACAAAAATTACACTTGATGTAGGACTATTCTGAAAGAAACCTACCTTCATTAAAGTTTTGGATAATTTTTCCGATTTCTCTAGACTTCCAGATATCCAAAATGATAAAAAACACACACAATACACGTTGGATAATCATTTTTCTGAACAACTTTCTTACATCAAATGCAACAATCAGATTTATGACACATAACAATGATTCTGAAGTAGCATATCATTATCGATAATATAACCAGAAATATACAATTACCAAGCATGTACATGTACAGGATTAGTTCATTTTGTTTGATTGCATGATTTCAAACTAAACACCGTTAAAGATGTAACGCTTACCCTTCTGAGAAGATCTCTAGCATCGTGAGTTAGATATGGAGGTAGGTTAAGCTTGCCTTTCAAAATCTAGACAGGAAACAAATTGATCAAAAAGTAAATATCCATAAATGTAAAACTGCAAGTATAAAATTTAAACGATTGGCAAGGAATCTAAATATCGTCTCTCTCTGTCTTTTCATTTCTCTTTGCAAGCACCTTGACTCGCTAGTAATGCCGCTATATAAACTCAGTTATTATTCATTTTTGTTACTAAACCCCTTCCAGTCCGACATGCAAGCTTTCTCTAGGTGAACATGTCATGCCGTCAGATGCTGCACCAGGAATGTACAGCACACTGAGCCCACTAATTCACTGAAGATGTTGAGTCCAAGTGTGTGGAACCTGAAGGGCTCTAAGTCACAATTTGTGGATACAAACTCTAAACCAAGTGAGAAATTTGAATGAGGCATATAACAGTAAAGAAATTCACTTGTAGCATAAGAAAGATTTTAGTTTCTACCATTTTTAAAACTAAAGGTTCAAACTTTCAGAAAATCCAAATCTGGGTAAAAATTTAAGGAAGTTTGCCCAAAACTGCTTTTCCACTTGAAAGTGTTCCTTACCTTATCGATAGTTTTTTTCCTATTCTCTGCTGTAAAAGGTGGCTGTGGGCAAAGATCATAAAAAATGAAAATACTGATTGCTGGTGGTAAAACTGAGAAAGTAGGTCTCTCCAAACACAACTTTTGAAAGTAATTTAGGTGAGACAGGATATGTTGAATAAGGTCTGAGATCCTGACTTACCCCTCCAGTGAGCATATCATACATTAGGGCACCCAGACTCCACCAGTCTACTGCCTTGCCGTGACCACTCCTTGTTAAAATCTCTGGAGCCCTGTGGAACACCACCACAATATGAAAGAAAAGTTTTTGCTGCAATTCTTAATGAGATGGTTCACACAACATGTCATACAGCCTTTAGAATGTCAGATTAATGTCAGATTAATGTCCAAAACAAGCAATTTTGTCTGCGGCCACGGTTATTCACTGTGACACGTTAATGGCAAAAGCCACAGCCATGACCACAGGACAGCTCATTTGAGCATGGCTGAAGACTATTATGAGTCTGCCAGTGCATTTACTCTGTGATATGTGTTACTGCTAGGCATACTACTTACATGTATTCTATGGTGCCACAGAAAGTGTGTGTCATGGAACCTTCTTCGAGTGACTCCTTGCATAATCCAAAGTCAGTTAGAACAACGTGACCTGAGAAAAAAAGGGCACGGTTAATCACTGAACTTCTATAGACCAAGTGAAATTTGTCAACACTAAAAGAAAACGTTGGAGGAAAAGTCCTAACTGCTATACTGATACAGATGAAGAAGTTGAAACTTCGTGACTCTAGCACAACTGTTGTGACCACTTGAACACTGGTCAGAGAGCTCAGTCTCCTTTGACTGTCAAGGTGATTAAATTGGTGAAGGGTACTGCATTTGTAAGAGAGGAGTCTCCTGATGTGGATTGGCAGTAGCTTATTTCAGCACAATATTACATATTGTTAAAAGATGGAAGAATGCTGACAGGTGGCAGGGCAGTACATGTTTTGTTGCATACATAGGGACCTACCTTGTTTATTCAACATGATGTTTTCAGGCTTGAGATCTCTGTAGACAATTCCCTGCTTGTGTAGATGCTCAAGTGCACACGTTATCTCAGACAAGTAAAAACTGTCGACAGAAATGTGCACAGAGAAAACTACGGATAACCATTAAACTCTATGGTTTCAATAACCCATCTGGAATCTCCCCATTATCAACATGTCACTCACTGAATGGCACGTTCTGACTTACATTTACACTGACACTGGCTGGGAATTTTTACTCAGGCAGTTTCATGATCAAAAGGTTGAATGCAATTTTACAGTTGAAAATAAAGTTAATATCAGGAACAAAATTGAGGTTCATCGTCTTGAATTCTAAATTTTGTAGAAAAAGTAAACACTATTCAGGCATTTTGTTATGAAGTTACATTTCTCCTCTCTATGTCTTAAAAGCCACCTTTATTATCAGATATAAACCAGCTTTGCTTGACATTTTACTTCATGATACTTAAAATGAAAACTCATTCTTACCATGCTGTGTCCTCCATGAAAATTCCTTCTCGTTCCAAATGCATAAAAAGTTCCCCACCTGCACGAATTAAAAAAAAAGCACAAATGATTTGGCTTGGTCACTATAGTTCTGGTTACTCACAAGACGAAAGGATCAGAAACAAATTAAATCTAAATAACAGGTCTGTTGATAAAAATTGATATAAATCTGCAATCAAGATATTAAATACCTGAAAACAGTGAAGGTGATTTCCTTTCATTATATTCAGACATATTTGCACATAAAGATTAAAATGTGTGGTACTGCATTTTAACTTTTACAATCTGATGAAAACAAAGGACATTTGTGTTGAATAAAGTCCTCTGAAGAGGTCTTACCACATAAATACTCTAAAATGAGGTATAGTTTCCCGCCTGTCTGGAAGGCATAGTGAAGCTTCACGATAAATGGGTGCCTGACTGCTTCAAGGATATTCCTTTCAGCTTTGGTATGTGCAGTATCTTTCTGGTTCCTGACAATAACAGCCTGAAACAAAAAGAGAAGAATGAAAGCAACATTGTCTATTTCCTGAAATTCTGATCAACACGTGAACCAGAGTTGTGGGTTTCAAGTTTTTTTGGAAGCAAAATTATTCAGAACAGGAAATTTATAAATTGCCAAGCCAGATTTCATATGTGAAATCAGGGACTGAAAGATGAAACAGGAATTAAACATTATTAAAAACCTCACCTGATTCTACATAATTTGAGATTGACATGTACGCAATAAGTTGGAGGACAAGCTTAGGCAAGCGGAAAAGTGTTGGTTATAGTTATCAAATATCAGTGATCAGTTTTCACATATTTTTTGTTTTTGTAACTTAAAGGTTGAAGGTTTAGAGGGAGAAGAAAGTACACTCTTTGGAGAGAGGTTAGCCAGTTATTTAGAACTGTGTAGATTGGAATAGCACGTTGGGCTGTTAAGAAAAAATTAAACTCCTTGCACATGTATATATGTACATGTATAATCAGATCCCAATGTCATGATACCAAGTAGGCCCATATGGCTCTCATTGAATTTACATGTTCTTGTATGCCTTTAGTACGAATCAGGAGAGTACCAGTGAAACACGATACACAGGGCATGGCACTTTTGTTGGTAACCTGGTTTTGACTCAGTAAACGTTGCCTGTGCTCAGCATGCAGGTCAGCTGGAGCACAGCACTTCACTGACTTTGGGTGCCGGATAGAATGAATGCAACGAGTACAGCACGTTGTACTGTGAGGTCTGACCAACTATGGTGACATAATCCACACTCAGACACAAACAGCTGTCTGGAATGAAATGTTAATTAAACAAAATTCATCTGCACACCGAATTATTCAAAATATTCTAAAAATGCAATAGCATATTCAAAGGGCTCCAATGGCAGACAAGACTCCATGCACGTTTATATCTATGACACATGTACATTCAGCAGTAGGTAATGGTATGCTTGAAATTAAATCAGGTAGAAGAAGTCAAGCGACAGAATGACACCAACCCCCCTGCAAAAAAAAAAATCTTCACGTCTACACCTTATTCATAGGGAATCCATTTTTGATCATGTTCACCAAATCTACCTTTTTTGTATTATCTGTCAAACGGGATGGTGCCAGACTCTTCCAGGTTCCAAACCTCACTTTTTTTTCATTTAATGTGGCTAAATATAATTAATCACAACTTTTAAATTAATCATCAGCACCATATACAGATACCAAATTTTCAAAATGCAAAAGTGTAATCCTGCCACGTGATACGGAATTACCAATCATACGTGTCAACAAAAACACATTTGAACCCAACGAGTTGAAATTTATTGTAACAAAAGTTGCCTGTAAAAAGTCAGTGTGTATTTTCATTTTAATGTGCTTCCGATGTCTAGACCCATAAACAGGGCCCTACATACAGGAACTAATGTCATTCACGCTACATAAATGACACTAATTGTAATGAAGTTTTGTTTTGCTTTCATTTATACTCAGGACCCCCCCCATATACAAAGTTAACTTCGCTTTCAGTCCAATATGGCTGACTTGTGTATATGGCCAATTACTTGTATCAAGACAGAAGGAAATTCAGTTCACCTTTTTTAAGACCTTCATGGCAAAGATCTTTCCAGGATCAGTACCAGCAATCTTCCTGACCTGGAAAACCTGTTAATTTAAAAATGTAAGAAAAGAAATATTTTGGCACATTGCAATATATCCACAGATCTCTTTCACGTTTTCCTATTACAAGTATTGAACAAATTTCATTTTGTGGGGGAGGATTAATGTGCGCAGAAGGGCAACTCAAAGTTGCAAGGAGGCATTTTCAAAAATTAAGGAAGCTTACAAGCTTCATTTTTCAAGTGTACTTGTATTAACATTGAGTCATTTTTCTCTGTAATCAGTCCCTCAAATGAATCCAGTTTTTTAAATCGTGAAACTAAAAGCACAACAGTTTCACAAGTGCGTGACCTTGATTTGGTGTCAAGACAAATGTCAATCCTAACTGTACAAGGAGTGGCGCTATTATAAGAATACAACTCACATCCTGTGGTCGGGGTCTATACGGGGGTCAACTCACACCATGGACTATTTAGACACTTATGACATGCTTCAGTTTAAAACCAATTAAAAAACCCTGGACGCAGTACAACCAGTTCACTCAAGCACTAAACATCGTTTCCGTAATGAGATCACCACCTGTTCAAATTTCTATAGGCATTCATCTGACTAACTCTTATCATTTCACAAGCTTTCATGCCACCTATTTGCAAACTATCAATTCAAAATGCAAGAGGATTCCTTGTGAGAATGACGGCTTCAGCAGAGTACTGGCTACTTGATCCTCTTAAATTAATGCACATGTATACAACAGGTTCATGCTACATGAAGCAGCACAGTGCCACAGAAATTACACATGCTGCTGCAATGCACTGATTATTCAGTATTACAGAACTTCGTTTAATCATGGTGGTCAACTATTTTTACATGCATCATAGAGTCGTAATGCTGAAATGCAGATTGGAATAAGTACATATATGTACATTTATGTAAAAGTATGTAAAATTCACCGACTAAATATGTTACTGATGTGTGAGCCTTACTTGTAAATATGAACAAAGAATTATTACTCGACTGTGAGATACCCATTTATTTTCTCGCTACGCTGACTATTTAAAGTGATAACATTCACAGCCTGGTTTTACAATAAATGCGACAGAATGTATGCAGACCTGCCCTTGTCTACATCACAGTTTGTTTTTTGCCTACAAAAGGCAGGTAAACTATGGCTCAGGCCATCAGTAAAGAAATGAGAGAAATAACTTGAAAACAAAGTGTCAACCATCAAAACATCAAATAGTACATGTTACCACCAAATACAAAATGAAAATATATCTCTTTTTATAAGTAATGGGGTATTATGCATTCTGAAGCAAAAGCTGACACCAACCAAGGGTGATATTTCTGTCTATGAAGAGGAGAGAATGTCAAGCAGATCTATTTGTGAATCTGGACAGTTAAGTGCAACCATTATTGATTTCGTTCGGTGTTACTCAGTTGCTAGAATGGGGTGTACCACAAGAGATTATAAATAAATGACAAAGCAACCTAAAAATAAAGTTAATTATGCTTCCATGTCCATTTGCACAATAACACAGGACGTTCAAAATGGTCGACATGGTGTCTAAATTCGCAAATATATCCATACATTCATTTGGCAAAACCTTTGCTTGCAAACAGCGGAGCACAACCTCGGTGTAAACTCAGCCAATTTGGGGAGTGGCATTGAAAATTCATGAGGGATTCAGGATGAAGTAAAAATTCAAAAGGCGATATTATGCAAATTGGACGCGGAATCCATTAATCATTTACCGTTTCAAAAATATCAACACTGAAAGCACTGTTTACATGTAGCGTGTCAGTTGATATTTTGCTGTTTTCTTTACCTTTCCGTAGCCACCTTTGCCCAAGACTTTCAAGAGTTGAAAGTGCTCTGGTCCAACCCGCTCATTGTGGGGGTTGACGGTGTGCTCAGACAGTGCAAGCTGCTCTATGTCTTCGTCCCTGCAAAATGTGAATGACCACAGGCAAACAGATCATAAATAAATGAGTAGTGTTACAAAAGCAATATGAAACTAGTGTGTTTTTTGTAGATCAGCCAATTAACTGATCACGGTCCAATAGTGACAAAGTAAACACTGCACATGAATTCGCTAAAATGAGCACCTTGTGTAAACATTCTGTTTCACCGGATTATCGTTAACGAAGGACTCTGCAGTATTTTACAAATGTCACTAACGCAGACCCATACACCCACACATCCACACTTTTTCCCTAAAAGCTGACAATAAACGAAATTGGAAGAGAATATGAAGAAATCAGTAAGGTTGGAGCAACATTTATAAATCAATCCGCTTGCGCCCCATCTGCCCAGCGGCAGAGCATGTGATTCTTTCAACATGAAAAATTGTTGCTCATTTAAAACTCATTAAGAAACACTTTATGCATAAATTTAGATTTTTACATTCCTGTGGTAATATACGTTTGAGTAAACACAGTATTCCTACACCTAAAGAACAATGACATTCCTTGACTTTTCCATGACTGAATTACGAAAATCCATGACCCAATAATGCGATTCCTTGGACTGTTCGGACTTTTAAAGTACAAATACAATCCTGCATTTTATGCACTTATTTCTGACCAAAGAAATCATAAACAGCCTTTGAAAAATTTCATGCCTTTAGACTTTTCTATGACTTTAGTCATTTTTACAAAATTCCATGACTTTTCCAGGCCTGGAAAATGAAATTGAAGTCCATGACTTTTTCATGACTTTTCCAGGCCGAGGGAGCCCTGTAAACACTTGTTGAAAAAGGAATACACATCTTAAGGCTTGTGTCGGAGTTGGTGCAGTGTGAATTTCATAAAACAGAAGTTTTTACTCCAAATGGGGAAGTGTCAGAGACATCATAGGACCATCACAATACCAACACAAGATCTGCCTGAATTCAAGTCACAAGCTTTTTGATTGAGCTGCAACAAAAGCATTCCTTTGTCACTGTTCATGCTGTTACTGGTACTTATGACTGGCCTCGTATGGTTTTGTGACGGCCTTAACTAAAATGCTACTTTAACCCTAACCCTACATAATACTACAGATTACTACTTGTAGTAAAATGTAGTAATCAGTGCTGCCGCTTGTAAGAGGACATGACCGCATTGTTCTCTGAAGCTATACAATAAAATAAAATAGATAAGACAATGTACCATACAGTGATGTGGCACTATGAATGCATGGCTTTATTGTTCTCTGTGCAAGTAACAATGGAAGGAACCTAGCCAGAAGTAGTAATTTGTAGCACTAGGTCCTTCAGGCTCAGGCTATTACTTAGTATTTTGTAGTACTGAGTACTGTAAGCCAAACAATATGCTTGGCGGTTAGGGTTAACTTGGGGTTGGGAAATGTTTTATTACCTATAGTTACAGCAGTTAAAGTTTTTTTGTGCGTGTGGTTTACTGAAGTTTAATCTTGATCCATTCCATATCTGCCAAAAACCCAGGACATAATTTTACTCAAATTTGCTGGATTGAGGACTACAGACCCTTAGCTAGCCAATTTAAACTGGCTAGAAGTCCTCATAATTTGGTGGAAAAAATCACTGGGAAACTGTGACATGTTTCACTTTGACAGCCTCTTAAAAATCAGCTGCAAACTTGAGGGAGAAGATGAAAGAATACAATGAGCATACGTACTCATCAGGAACGGAGCCCGAGCTGGCTGTGAGGTACTGCTCCTGAGTATAAATCAAAACAGACAATTGATTAGTAATCAATTAGTAATCAATCATCTTCAAACTCAAATAAACAGAACACTGTGCCAGAGATAGTACTGGTACCATGATAGCCGTTTGTGAGGCAATACAGCTAACACATGTTCCATTACGACAGATGAGATGGCCTGTTTAAAACAGAGCTTGGGTAACTAGCAAAGAAGCACTATGAAAATGCATGAGGTTACATTACTTTATGGATGATGTTTAGTTGTTTAATGTCCATGACTAATCTATAACTGTTAACTGGATAATTATTGTTGCGGTAATGAGGATGGACAATCATGTTTCAAGACAGTGATTATGGTTATACACTGATGTTTATGAAATGTGACTCTGAGGAATACATTGGTAATGGTTGTTCTAAGCCCATAATGAAAACAATGAAGATAATGATAACGGTGATCAAAGCAGCTGATACTTTTTAATGATAGGGATGTTGATGATGAAGATTAAGTTAAACTTTGACTATGCACATAATTCAATGTGACTTAATTATGATGATGATTTCGACAAAAATGGAAACGTGAATGGGGAAGACTTGATCCTGATCTGTCATGTCTTTGGCCACAATAAAACTACAGTGAAATAGGGCCTACGCCTATTCCTTAAAACGGAAAGTGTTCCCCAATGTCCATGACAGTATAGTTGCCAGGTCCCCAATTTTGCCACCTTTTATCAAGTCTGACTGATTTTCACAGTAGGCCTAGGCCAAATGAAGTGGCAAAATAACGGACCTGGTGCCTAGGAGTAGGATCCCTTTATCATCATGGATGTTTAATAGGCCTAGACGACATCACTGGACACCCACTGCACAAACCTTTTGGCCTTACTGTATAGAAAATTCCAAGTGTTTTCTAAATAGGCCTTAATCATGTTAACCCTAACCCCTAAGGGTGTATGTAAATCGTATTGAAATTGGATGATTTGGGAGGGTTAATCGGTAATGTTTTGGCTAAATAGGGCCTAAATGCTTTAATATTTCCAAATGGTGAATTTAACTTTTTAGGACATGACATGTTGAGTGATGGTGCAGGGGATTATTGGTCATGTTGGTGATGTACGTGTACATGATGCATATGTACGGAACTCTTTCCCCACAACGGATATGTAGGTGTAAGCATGACGTACATGTAGGGCTAAGCTGACTACTGAACATGCGAAACCACCATACAGCTATACCCACCTCCACAGCATCATCGTCGGAGACGTTTTCTTGATGGTTGGTCAGCTGTTGAGCTCCCGGCTCGTTGAGCTCGAAGTCGAAAACTGCGGCCATCATGACCGTGAAATGGGTCTACCTAGAGCGCCGATTCATGGAAAAAAGACAAGGGCAAACAGTGGATTTATTAAACCGATGATCTGATGATGTCTTTGGAAAATCTGTCACGGTTTCTCCGAAGTTTGACATTGTGCGGGGGCAATCCCACGTAGGCCGGTAGGCATACATGTACATGTACATATGTACGCACAAGTACGGGTGTACTTGATTGACTTGTGCAGTTATTTCGCACTCTGCATGATTCAACATTATAACCCGGCGAATTTCTAGCAAATATTAACGTATAGTTCATGCACACACCAAAGGCATTTTTACCAGCAAGTATGATCACATTATATTCTACACTAGATGCAACAGACATAAACCGTAATCGATTTTAATCGCTGGGTTTCGTTTTCAATCTGCTAAACCGATATCTTTCATACTGCATTTTATTCATTTTTTCACCAAGTATCCGTTTCTATTTTCATTAGAAAATGGCGCGACTTCCGGGCCCAAGTGTACGTGAAGGGGTTGTATGTCGCTGACGGGTGGTACGGTGGCTTAGGAAAGCCAATACAGGTAGATGGCTCTCTGCAACCGGGCATTTATGATTCGTTGCTTTGTTCTGTTGCACCTTGTGGTGCCAACGTCTGGAAAGTTGATGATCAATGGCTAAAAAACATCGACCCAAAACTTGTACACAAATAAGAAATTCAATTTAGAAAGTTTAGCTTCTCTAATTGTGTACAGATAAGAAAGGGCGATTTCCATACAAGTGAAACAAGCTTACAGAGAATCCATTCTCAGTCAATAACATATCATATTACATGACATTTATTTACAAAACATATTTACATCAACAAAATAACTGATAGAATCTACCCTTAAAACTTTTATCTGAATTTTTGGCCACGCTTGTTCTGCATGACTAATTTTTCCAAGGACATGAAGAGCAATGTAAGTACCATACAACTGGATCCCCAGTTCTCAACATTCGTGTCAAACCTGTTTATGAGATATTTGCTTTCTTTGCATAAATGCCGTTTTATTTTAATATCATAACATGTTGTATAACCAAAGATTACTTACTTGAAAACTTTCATACAGAGGTAACAAGTTTCTTTTTTTAAAAACCCAACAGGGGCTGCCTAATCTACCAGCTTATATCAAGAGTTGTGACTTAATATTAGGTTATTTCACGGTGATTGAAGCCCATGGAATCTTAATGGAGTCCAAATCAGAAAATTTCAACAGAAACCACAGAAGAGCTAACTGAAGCTATGGATTAAGTCTACAGCTCCTTCACTTCAAGAATCTTTGATGGTGTAGTCTCGATCCTCAAGTTTACAGTCCTCTTATACCTGAGATATCTTTGGTTGTAACACATATGCAGATCTCAGTACAGGTGCCTTGGATATCTTGGGTCATGAGCCCCGAGCTGGATCACGAGAGGGTGCAATTTTCCCAGCAACGGAGGCCCCCTTGGTAGTAACTGCGCATCGCTGGTTTACAAATGACTATGAAGTGAGCACTCCCGACTAAACTGGCTTTTTACAGCAACTGATAAGGGGTAGTCCTGCTCAGGGCGGACACAGCCCACCGTCGTGCATCCAGAATGTTCTAAAACTACAGGACTGGCGGCTGAGATACAAGTCCACAGTTCCTACACTTCAAGAATCTTTTATGGTGATGCAGTCTTTTCAAGCCTTATTGCCCTGTTATTTGGGTATCAATGGAAGTCACGAACCTTCATTCAGTGACCTGGATATCCCATTTACATCACAAAATTCAGATCTGATAAATGCAACATACTATCATCTTACCACAAGACTTTCAACCAAGCAGGTGAATTGTTTGGAATGTTTCAGATTCAAAAGTTATATCACACATGTTCAGATCTCAAGACACAAGATGTCATGTGCAGAGACCGCTTGTGGCTATCATGCTATTCACAGTACATGTCTGAGGAATATAGCTCAAGTAGGAGTGAAGTAATGAGAGGTTGGACTGCATCCAAGGTTTTAAAATTCAGAGTTTATAGAAAAGTTCAGTCTATGTAGTCAAAATCTTCCGGTATGCCGAAGTGTTTATCTATCGTCTTCTCCTCCATGGAAAATTTCTTTTTGCACCAGGATTTGATGGTGAAGATGTTGTCTGCAAAACAAACAATAAGTCAGGAAAAAATTAGTTCACAGGACAATACTCAACTAGAACAATCAGAATTGAAACTGGCTTGAAAAAAGGTCAATTCAGAATAAGATTCAAATTGTAACTTCAAAGCAAAACAAAAAATGTTATCTTATCGAGAATCCTTCTTTAATAAATAGCCCTCGCCCAAACAACACTGAAAATAAGACCAAAAAATGCAGTTTTAATTTACTAAAACTTATTTTCTGCGAGGGTATATCAGCTCATCTTTTCATCAGTCAAGCCTTCCCACCTGTCCATCGATTGGCTGCCTCCCTGGCCACCAAGGTTTGTTTCTTGACCTCTTCTAAGACCTCAGGGTCACATTCTCGATATTTCTCCAGCTCTGCCTTCAGCCTGGAGTTCTCCTGTTCCTGCACGGCCAGTGTCTTCATGAGCTCTATCCTGTCATCCTGTAAAACAGTTTCAGGTACATGTGCAAGGAAAGGAGAGTTGAGGTTAAAGATGCACACTAAAGCCTAGCTGGATTGTGTAAATAAGATAAAGAATCCAAGAAAAATGTAAATATCAAGGATCTAAGATCAGACATGATCAAGGATCAAACACAAATGTATCAACGATCAAGAATTAAAAATAGCATTAAAATGAGTACAGATCGCAGATAAAATCAAATCAAAATAAGCATAAAGGACAAGATTAAGTAAGAAAAAATCACGGATCAAGCACACAGGAAATCCTTGCATATTTGCTTTACACTACCTTCCTCATCCACGATTTCCGTAAATTACAGAGGGGCATAATAATACACTCTTGCACCCTGCTAGGTGTACTTTTACAAAATTTTCTTGTGGAACGTAGGACTTACAGTATTCTCTTTCCCTATGGTAGCCTTGGTGATGAGCTTCTTTGTTGTTGCTCTTTTCTTCTCACTTCCCTCCAGGGCTGTGGTCAGATCATCTAGCTTTCTCTTTCTCTGTAACAAAAGACGTTATGAGGAAGACGGCTCTATTGTAAGGTGTACCACCAACTTAATTGAAAATCACTAATAAGAAACAAAAGAAAGAACGAAAGAATCAGGGTTTTGGTGTTTTAGTACGGACCTATCCAGCAAGCTTTTTATTCAGTGGAGAGTTGTTTCTTAGGTCGCATTCAAGTCAGGATTCCACCAAGGCAGTGGCTGCGTCTGCTGTCAGTGCCTTCCTACATATTTCCAATGGACAGAGACCTACACCCAGCAAACAGATGCAGATGCAGCCTTATTTTGCGAGTTACTGCATAACTGCCATGAGAGTTAGCTATCAAGCGTTTCCAGACTTTGTTATGGAGTGGGGCGAGGGGGGGATATACCAACGGTGCTATCAAGGGGGACGCTTCTACAACAAATCGCACTACGCTCATGAACCAGATTGCTGGCAGATTGTGGGCGTGGTGTGGTTCGTTGTGATAACAGCCTCCTGCAGAAGAAGGCTGTATCAGGCACATTTATGATGCCCTTCATCAACCCTAGACTACAACCGGTGGGGCATACGTACTGAAGCATCATCCACAATAATAAAAGCCTCAAGTCACATTCAGGCATCACATGTTCAACTCACAGCATTGCTGGCTTTACTTGGGAAAGCCCAGAAATAGTTGGATGTTCCTATTCGGTCAGAGTCCACCATTCCATCATCGACCAAACTCTGCACCACATCCTTCACTGACATGGAGGCTTTCATAAAGGAACAGAAAGAGGCAACTTGAAGCACAGAAATACAATGCATAACATTTTACCAAAAATCAGTATTTTAGGACTTGACTGAACAATATGCATAGACTAGCACGTTCCATTCCAGTATTGCAGTCAAAGCCATCCCAAGTCTTTTCCCAAGGCCATTCACAAGTAACAAGGCGAGTAATGGCAAAGGAATATTCTTACCACAGTCCATGGTAATACATGTAGCTTAGGACATGACGCAATGCCTTGTGATAGACTGTACCACACTTGATCAATTAACCACTGTTACAGGTGGATTTTAAAACTCACTTATGCCCTTTGTCTTTGGTGCAATTTTCTCCAACTCCTTCAACTGAAAAACGTCTTTCTGTAGGATGAACAAAAAGAAATGTGAATTTGGGATAACTGTGTGCTGCACATGTATAACCCACAGAATAGCTTCTCAACTTTTGCTTTTTTTTGTAGTCAGGGCATGATGGAAACCTTCCAGTGGATATCCCAAAAAGAAACTTAACTTCAAATACTAGGTTAATTCAATGTCTTGCTCACAACACTGGATTACATTCTACTTAACACACCTAGACTTTCTAGAAATGCCTCATTTAAATTCCGTGGGTTACCCTTTCAAAGAAGATCTCCATCATCTTTTGTCTCTTCTCCTCCAAGCTGAGTCCTCGCTTTTTTGACTTTTGGAGGAAAAAACAGAAGTGTGTTAAATGCGCTGCGGTTTCTCCCATTCCCCGTCCATGGCCCCAGTCCATGCAACTTACACCAGAAAACCACACCTAAGTGGCCAACTATGTTTGTGACCAGGGCTTTAAAAATGATGTGACAAAACTGGCCTTGATATTAACCTAGACTAAATTGTCTTACTTATGATCTTGTGCATTACCCCCAGAGCAATGGTGTTCGTTGTCTGCCACTCCCCTGGACAACAAACTCTACAGTTCTGGGGGTAGGCGATGGGTGTATGACAGCCAATGGTCAAAATACAAACCAGTGTTGAGTGAAATGTTTGAAAGTATGCAAATTTTAAACTGGCACTCACAATTTTTAAATTTGGCACAACCACAAATTTTGTCACTAAAATTGCACACAGCGATAAAAATTGTGCAGTACATAAATCACAGGCAACAGTCGTACGTAAGAGACTGACATCAACTACGTTTTGCACGAATTTAAGAGTCAGGTCCATTGTCAGGTTTGTTTTTGAAATTCTGCGCATGATTTGTAAAATGGAAAATGTGCCATGTACATGTACTCATGGGGCACAGTTACACGCTGGCTGGCCGTGACATGGATGAAATTCTGCCCATTAGTTTTAAGATTTTTGGTGAATAAGAGCTATTAAATTCCCCTGTTGACACTTAATTTAAACTTAACTTCCCTCTAAAAAACCTTTAGAGCAAATGTAAAATTTGCACACTTTCAAAGATTGCACTCAACACTAGCATTTCACAACTTTCCAGTGTTCTCAACAGGCATGATCACGATAGCCTAAGCCTAGGCCAAGGCCAGCAACACATTCTGTCTTACTTACATGACATCCACAAATTTTAATTCTCCTCATGAACTGATGATACATGGATAAGTTTAAACTTTAAGAGGATGGTATGAATATGATAAATTATGATGATCATGATGATGTGGGACCTACAGAATGACGGAGAGTATGAACCTTATAAAGCATGATTCTACCTCCATGTATAAAGCTGTCCATGATCATAATCATGAGGACATCGCAAGGCCCTTCGGGTTTCGTTTGAAATTCTTCCCCGTCAGTCACCTCTTTTATGAATTGTTTCCCAATGTAAAATAAAAGTCTTATTTACCATGGTGCTACTGTGTTGACTATCTGCAGAGCCACACAAAATCTAGAAACAACTTGTGATTCTGTTTCCCACACCACACTCCTATCCTGCGAGCTAGTAGCAGCAACCACGGAGGAATGCAGCAAAACCAGCGCAGCCTGTCTGCGGCCGGCCTGCCTTAAGGCCTTACAAATTACGCGCGCCCCCACTTGAGCTCTCTCAGTTTAATATAAACATCTGAAAATATATAATAAAATAAAACTGCGCATTTTACAAAAATCTGACGTAAGAGCAATATTAATGTATTTAATTATTTTCTCCTTTCAAAAATTAACGGATGTTTTCTACCTATCGATATAACATTTTGGTGGTTTGAACAATAGTAATTTTCAGAATTTGTATTTATGCATGCATATGATGCATGCGAGATCAGCAGGAACCACGCTGACGGTGAAGAAACCTCAAACTTCGAAGGAATGGATCATAAAGAAAAGTATAAAGCCGGAAAAACCGATTTTTCTAAAATCAAAGAGAAGAGGAGAGACGAAGAAGTTGGTATGCAAACGAAATTGTGTTTAAAATTCTCCTAACCTGTGATAAGAATCTTACATTAGACCTAAAGTTCAGTGTGTGCCCACTACTCCCCTACTACTAGGTATACTGTTATTTTGTTATAGCGCCCTCTTTAGCGTTTTTGCTCAAGCATGTAATAATAAATTCGTGTTGAACCGCCTTGAAAAACTACAACACCAATAAACTTTTTCAGCAACTATCAAGGAGAACTCAAGTGGCTGATATTTTATTGCTGGGCCATCATATGTGGGCCTTGGTGTTAGCTGAAAGTGTAAAACCTAGTTTTCATAATTCAACTTTAACATGTTCAAAATGGAATTCTAAACCTGTCAAAATCAAGGTGTCTGGAATGGCTTCTGCTGTTCGAATCATCATCAAAAGACTGGATCATTTAGTTCTGACGGTCCGAAACATCGATGCCACTATCTACTTCTACACCAAGGTATTGGACATGGAGGTTGTAACTTTTAAAGGACATCGCAAGGCCCTTCGCTTCGGTCAACAGAAGATCAATCTTCATGAAGTCGGTAAAGAGTTTGAGCCAAAGGCCCAACACCCTTCTCCTGGATCTGCCGACATCTGCCTAATCAGTGAGACATCCTTAGAGGATGTGATTCGCCATTTAGAAGTCTGTGGTGTGCCCGTGGAGGAGGGGCCTGTGATGCGCACTGGTGCCCTGGGACCCATCAGGTCGGTCTACTTCCGAGATCCAGATAAGAACCTGATCGAGGTCTCTACTTATGAAGATAGCAGTGAGCAAGCAGACCAAGGACTTCCATGAAGACCTTAAGAATCACAAAACATGGCAGCTGGAACCTGAGAGAAGAGACTTTTGATCTGTTAGATTATTGAGTGATCTTTGGGATCCAGTTTTATATGAGGAAAACTCTGTGATGTAGAGTGACTTAATTATCCCCCTCACACTGTAGTTGTACCATCGGAATTAGGAAAGCTTTTCAAGTGGCTATACAGTGAAACACTGCTATAACGAACACGATGGTTCGCCGTAATTATTTGACAATGAATACATGTACATCAACTTTAATTAGCTCCTGTTTATGTGATTAAATAAAGAAAACAACCAACTATAATTTAAGTAGAATGAATTTACTTATTATGTACGTAGTGTACTTGCCACATGTCCAACCAAAATTACCATTAATACTAGTACATATATAGAATTGTACATGTGACTCCATGTAATAGACTTCTAATAAACAGAACCATCAATGACCCTCTATGGTTTTACAAATATTACAACCCGTTCCTGTTGTCCCCAACCGACCTTTAACACTAAATCTAATATTCTTCAATGATTTCTAACATGGGAGAATTATGTGCTCTTACCAGCTGTTGCATTCCTAGGGTTTGATTAGCTAGAAAAACTGCCTGTATTGTGGTTCAACAGTCTGCTAACATCATTAGGAAAGATGTTTTTGGAACGCGAGTGTCGATTACACAACATTACCAAAAGAGGGCACTATAACAAATTTACACCGCTACATGGACCTTACTGATGAAAATGCCAACAGATACTTCTTAACAGATCCAGAGCTTGATCCAGATCCAGATTAACAGTTCTTTTAAAATGTTATATCAGATTGATACTGGTATTGGATTAATTCCTTTTGGGTGTACATGTAGATGGCCCTTGGAGGTTATAGGAGGGAGTGACAAGTCCCCTCTTAAAAATTTTTTCTATCCTCCAAAATGTGGCCCTGTCTTACAGGAAGAGTTTCTGCTGAAGATTTTGTTAAATGAGGGAAATGTTCCATGTTGTAAAAATTTTCTTATTCCCAAATAAATATTAAAAAGTTTGAAGAAATCATCCAGTGCTGTCTCCCCAGTGTCTGCTATTAGGAATGCTTGCAGTTCTTAGAGATGTAACTGCTCTTTGATTTCTCAGTGTCCGAAGGTAACACCTTTCTCCCCCAGATCCACGTCTTTTCCCTTTAATTGTTTTCTGTTGCTCTCTCATCGTTGGTGTTGGCCACCTTATCAGAACTACGCAAGCACCGGAGAAATCGGTACATCGATGCCAAGAGATTGAGGTTGGATGAGACAGATGGGGAGGAGGTGGAGGAATACACACAGGCCCAGGTGAAGTACAATGCTCATTGGAAAAGCAATATGTGTGGATGGGGTGAACCGAATGAGACATTAAGAACTGTTTGAAATGGTGAGGGTATAAGCATTTGACTCGGAAGTGTCGGTTCAACACCACTTAGTGAGGTTATTGGAAGAAACCTTCACGAGTCCATGCAAATTGATGGGAAATATTCATTGCTTAAAGTGTGTTGGACAAAATAAATCTACAAAATTTATGCTTTCTGTCAAAGTTTCGAAGTGCACATGCATCCTGTACTCGTAATATTTCCACGACTTGAAACTTGAGGTCAATTTGAGACTTTAGTGCAAGTCTAATGAATTTGAGGACTGTAGTGCTAAATAGTAATGCCATCAATCCTGTACCATGGTATACAACTGTAACTCATCCATGACACTATTAAGTGTATTTCCACGAAAGTCCTAAAACCCAATGTAACTTCATCCCAATGACACTGTGCTTCTAAAACATGATCTCTCACAATTTCGTCTTGTCTGTATGAGTTGCTGTAATTTGTAAGTTTTGAGACTTGTTTCTTCCCAAATCTGTTGTAGGTTTACCTGGTAGCCAAGGCTATTCAGAAGCATGGGAGTGACCGGCTTGACCAGCTCAAACGGCTCAAGAGAATGTTTGCGCAGGGCAGTGCGCTCATTGATGCTTTTCTGAGGTAGGTCTCTGAGGTCCAGAGTCAGACTTCCCTTCAGTGGCCAGATTACAAGCGTGGGTTCGAATCGCACCTACCCAGTAGTTACTGGTGTCCTTGAGAAGGGTGCTTGACTTCAATCAATTTTCTAGAGGTACCTGAGTGGGCAGAATGTAGCTATAATATGAATATTTCTAAGGGTGGATTTGTGTCAGGGAGATGTTTATTTAAATTTTGATTTTTTTTTTTTTGCCTGTCAACTTATATTGTAACACTGTATATTCAGTGTTTCCCCCGAAAGCGTGTGAAAAAACCACAAGCGTAAATATGAATGTTGTGGGCTTCAAATCATAATGTTACTCTGCATCTAACCAACTTGCCATTGCCCTCGAGTAAGGCACTTTACTGCAGCAGACCCTGTTCACGTTGAGGCTGTTTTTTTTATCATATTCCCCAAATCTGTTTTACATATTGCAAACTGTCAATTAGGACAGCACCGGACTGTTTTTAATTCCTCCTTCCGTTAATTTTCAAAATCTGGCAAGGGTGCTGTGTGTTCAATCATGAATTCGAAATTATTCATCAGAGTAGACATATGCAAATTTGTCATGAAATTTTATTTATTGCTTTCATTTGTACTCTCAACATTCAAAAATGAAGAGTTAACCTCGCTTTAAAATTCAGTATGGCCGGCCCCGTGAATAAGGTCTATTGCTTTTCTTAGATAAACCACAAATACTGGTACATGTAAGTTCTGTATTTGAGTGGGCAGAGCTTATAACAGAAAACTGCTTATTACAGAAAACTGCTTATTACTGAAAACTGCTTATTACAGAAAACTGTTTATTTGACCATCTTGTCTGCTTGTCAAACCTTAATTTGAGTACAATTTTGGCATGCCAATCTGGAAATTTGAGTGTCATTTTGGCATGCCAATCTGAAGTGATGAGAAAGCACTTTTGCAATTACAGAAAAATAATCTTGCCATTTAAAAGTATTAAGTAGAAATTTGAATTTTCAGTGTCTTCACAAACAAGGTTGTTTTTTTTCATCTTTGACAGTGTGGACAACACAATGCGAGCTCTTGTCGGTCTTTTGAGCGGCCACGATCCAGCATTACAGCTGCAAGCGGCCTGGTGCATCACCAACATGTCGGCCAGTATTCACGATCACTGCATACTGGTGCTGCAGTCTGCTGCCCCCTATCTCGTCACATACCTCAGCGGTCAGAACGCAGCACTACAGGTCGGTAAGACGTCCGTTTGTCTTTCATTGCCTCATCAGATGGGTGGGCTGTCATTAGCTTGACTAGGCTGAAAATGTGAATGGCGCCCCCTTGTGTTGTGGAGAGCATGTTGTCTGAATGCCCAAATTTTTGCGGTCGGTATTTATGGTCAGATATGCCGGGTATTTCTTTATCTTTGTGGTTGGTTATTGTAACTATTGTATAACTTTGTCACTCTTTGGCTGGTCATTGCCAGTGGGGTTAAGTCAGGGGGTGTGCCACCCTCCTTGTTTTTCTTGTCCGCAAAGTTGTGTAACTCGACAACAGGCTTGAAGCAACCATGAACACCACCAACCAGTGTCACAAGTATGTGGTGTCTGGCACTCCCTCCCCCTCTCTCCCCTCGTGTTCCATATCTCAAAAAAGTTTCGGAACAGTCTTCTAAGTCCACATCATTACAAAGGACTAGAAGCATTGCCTGCAACTTGTCAACCTGCCGTTCTGTGATGCTGCGCTAGTGCCAATTGGTTGGAGGCTTGGAGTTTTGCTGATCAGCATACATTATTGATCCAAATGACCTTGCTGCAAACTTGGGTATTATGTCAGAGTGTAATGGAATAATAGGGTAACAGGTGTTTGAGTATATTATTCCCTCTACACAGTAATTTGCGTGTGAGGTCAATTTGAGCTTAAACAAATATCTGTTTAGGAAACAGTACAAAATGGCCGCAGAAGTTGAAATGTTTATAAACTTTAAATATTTCTCAGTAAAATTGTTGAAATAAATGCGGACTTCAACTGTACCTTTATAACGTACAAACGTAGTAAGGAAAAAAACTCGGACCAACTGTAAACCAACAAGCAAAAACAAAACCAAATCAAACAACAAACGGTTAAACAAAAAGTAGAGTTGTGTATGCACAGCCCTCCCGAAACAACATTTTGAATTGCTAATTTCGTTTTTGGTAGTGTGTCATCCATGCCATTTTTGGAGGGGAAAATACGTGCACTGGCCTCTATATGTTTCCTGCTCTTTCGTGTATATGCGGGAATTTTAGCCAGCCTTTTGAGACCTTTTCGCAACATGTGTGTCGTTTATAAATTATTGTCCATGTACATGTACATCCGGTTTTGATCACGAGTGGACTGTAACCAAAAACAGTTTTAGATTTATTGCAGTTTGTTTAAATTATCGGCGTATTTTAGTGGCCAATTTGACAGGCTAAGTACTTCAACAACTTTAACATGAGAATTATGACAGTCACTTGTCAAGAATCTCCTCTGCCTTTCCTCATCAATGCCCTGTTGTGTTTGTTATTTCTTGTCTCACAGGACCAGTGTTGCTGGGCCCTGGGCAATTTGGCTGGTGACGGGCCAGAGTGTCGTGATAGGCTGGTAGCTCAGGGAGCCATCAAACCCCTGATCAACTTACTCAAGGTAAGTGGATTCCAATTTATGCGAAATGGTGTCATAATTAATGTACTTATGCATCCTGTGCTCCTGTGATGCATAAATAAGGAACAAATTAAGATGTACCATATTGTGGGTACATGTACATAAATACATGTATATTTTGAAATATTAAGATGCATAGTTTACACATTTTTGATACATTTAGCAATCCTCTGACAAGAACTCCTTTTGACGAATAATATAAATAACATATGTATAGTTTATTTTTTGTGTCATGTAAGACTGGTCAAAATTTGAGAGCATTTCCAGTTCTTAAAAATTAGATTAGGCAAATTTTGTTTTATTCAACACTTTTTTATTAGTTTGGTTTCCCATGGTAACAGAGTTTTGCATATTGTGATCCAGTATTAACTAGGATGGTACAAACGTACCGTTACCTCAGTAGGAAATGATAAGAGCATTAGCAACTGTCCCTTGCAAGAAGAATACACTTGCATACATTTATGACTAATTGCCAAATCAAACACCCCCAGTTAGTTTTTCCTGAATGCCACGACTGCAAAGCTCCATACATGGGAATTGGGATGAATTGTTACCTGTAGCTTGGGGTGATTGTGGTAATAGATCAGTCAGGTTACTAGCTCATGAATGTTTTTGAAAAACTTCTTACTGTACATTATCTCGTGGAGTTACAGTCACAAAATATTGGCACATGTATCACAAGTCATGGGCTTGTATATGTATACCTACGACCTAGGGCAATCTGCAGGTACCTACGGAATGATTACATCCTGTCTGGCATTTGTTAATGTCAGGTATTTTAATAGAAAGGTATGTGTAGTAAATGATATGGCGCTATTGGGTTTAATGTCGGGCGCCCATATTCTTAGAGCTAATAACTTGAGGCAGCAGTGTTGTGTCCAGCCTAAGTGCCAGGGAAAATGTTGCGCCTGCAGCAAATCGTTGTAGAATGAATTTTCTTCAGACAAGGAGAATCTTTGCTGTTCAAAATTTAATTATGATGGAATTATTATGCCTTCAGCTCTGGGCAGAAAGATTTCTATTTCAGATGTCTCCAAAATGAAATGCAGACCACCTACATGTAATGGTACTCTATGTCCCGGAAAAAGCTTTCCAAGTCGTCATTAAATAATTTACACACTCCTGGTACTGGCTTCCCTGAAATACACATCGTCTCTGTTGTTTTTCTTTAGTTTAAGGTGACCGTGATGGGAGGTGGGTTATCTTAAATTGAGGAAAACATTTCTTCCGCTGATGTTTTCCTTGAGGGTTTTGGTTGATACCGTAGGGGCGGATAAAACAAGCCTGCTTACATGTAAATGAAATTCAAAGTCTCAAATAACGGGCCACACCTGTTCCAAATGAATTTTATCTCTGAAGAAAAATTTTGCTTTGTTTTCCTTTTAGGAATGAAAAAATTGAATAGAGTATTTGTCGCCACTGATTGTGCTCTTTGCCTGAGTGCATGGTAGAATAGGATAAATATGATAATACATGGTCGTGAAATTAAATTGTTAATTTGACTGGTGTACCTGACCTCGTGTAAATTTAGCTCCTTTTGTAGAAAATATTATGTCAGGTGGCAAGTTTGTAATACTGGTATATTTGCTGTGGTCAATTTGTTTCTCTCAAAAATAGTGCTTGTGGATGGGGATAGTTTTACTGTCGTCTAATAGACCGGTTGCACCCGCTAAGTCATGTGACCTGTAGTGGGTATTAAGTATCAACAAACACAATGTGCACCTAAAGCAAAGTGTTTCAGAAGTATCATTTATCAAAAATAAAGCCGACGGCAAATACCAGACTCGGACTGTTGATGTGCTGGACACTATATTGTAACTTAGCTATATTGTTTGTATGGGGTTGATACCCACTATACACTGCATAGTGATGTGATTTTAGTAGGCACAATCGGTTTATTTCATCACAGATCTCTGAGAATCAGGCTCATTATTTTCACTGTTTGATTGTGGAGTTGTTTGCCCAAAGATAACTGTTTACATTATAAGACTCTATTGATCTTCCGCTACCAGTACCTGGTGAACATGCTAGTAGCTTACTGTCAAAACAAACATAAAGTTTCCATTAGGATGGGTTCAGACAAATACGTTTGTCTGGGACCCTTCCTTACAATGCATATTTGGCCTTTTTGGATGAAGAAAGTAGACTAGTTTTTAGCTTCCCATGAATGTTGCACAACTCATGCTTCTCCATCTTTCATGTCTTTCCTGTAATCTTGAGCCAACAGTATGCTTTCAACATGAGAACTGTGAACCAGTAGAGCCAGTTGAAGAGTTTCAGCACATGCTGAAAAATGAGCTGGCCGTAAATCTCTTTTAATTTCTTCACAATCTGTATTGCTGTGACAAAGTTTCTAATTTCACAAGTGATGCCTGTAGCAGACTTTTGATCAGGACAGTGTACATGAATGGGTGTACCTGTACATGCACCCACTCTGCTGATGCAATTGGAATTACCGCATGTATTTGAAAAGAGCTAATTTTGCAACTGTCCTGCGTAGATAAACGCAGCAAGTACCAGCATTATGTTTCTTCATTTTTTATCGCACTTCTCGGTGAGGCTAATCAAATATCATTGGCTTGTTGATACAGATAGACTGAGACAGCCACTTTGTTGAAACATGATCCTTCTAAGTGTAACTGTGTAAAGCTGTGTAAACACGTACTTTTGATCATGTCAGACTTACCCTATGACCAGCAACTCAGATACATGTATTTTATAACTTGTTGGCATGGTTTGGATGTAAAGACAGCATATTGGGTGTCCTGTTGCTGAGATCATCCCCATAGGCTACATGTACCGGTACATAAATCATACCAGTGTAAATGAAGCTTGGAAAAAATAAGATCCTGGTGTGGGTTAAGAAAGTTCTCAGTAAAGTATATAATATATATATACTATATATATACTATATATACAGCGCTATAAATGGAAATTCATGTAACATCAGGCTCTTTGTCACTTTGTCTCTGTGGAAAAGAAATTCAGTTGCCTTCATTGGTTTTGAACGTGCTTGAAAATTTCATCAACCCCAACCTGTCATCGTCTTCTTATGAATATGGGTAATTCCAGAAATTAGGTGTCCATTTTTTTGTGTCCCTGTTACATCTTACATATGATTTTCAGAATACATTTTCTAATTTCCAAGAGTGATGAATTAATGCAAATTACCTGCCAAACAAATAGTAATAGTTAGAAAACGATTCTGGTGATATGTCCATGTCAAATAACAAAGGTACAATGTAAGATGTAACAGGGACACGAAAATGTCACACTTTTGGCCCCTTCATTTCTGGAATTACCCATATACCTGTTGGAAGAACAAGTCCAGTAGTTTGTCCATGGTAGCTTGTAAATTTTTGTTGCTGAAGAAGAAATTTTCCTCCCATAGCAAATTAGTTACTGCTGTCAGTACCTCAGCTGGGAATACTCTGATAAGATTGTTTGAAGTGAGAGGAGTGTACTGCTAGCTGGGCCTTTACTTATACATATACATGTACATGTAAATGCGTTTCTTTACTACAGTCATAAGTTTTTGTCTCTTAATGACAAAGGAGTCAGTTCCGCTTCACACATGGAGAAAAAATACCCCAAACTATCACCTGTCTAAGCGACACTCTTTCTCATATCGTGAAATCAATCACAGCAATTTTGTCATCAACCTCAGAATAGGCCCTGGCAATGTGGCATCTTCATTAACGCTCCTAGATCCCTCCAACATCATGCCTCCTTGACTTTAACCTGTCACGCCTCAGAAGTCGCCTGGCATCTCAATCCATTACTGCCAGCTCCCGCCTCCCGAGGCCCCATCTACATCCTAATTAATCTGATACACAAGACAATGAAGGCCATAAAATTTATTGTCGTTAAGCTGCCGTGCGTGTCTTTCCAATATGGTATGCAAAGCTTTGGCATAGCAGTTATACTCCTTAAGATAATTATGCATGTGTTATATCAGCAATTGGGAAAAAAAACGAGGAATAATTTCATGGGTTTCAAATTATGTTTTTCACAGAAACTGATCATGTTCGGCACTATTGTGGAGACAGTGATGTCGGAAAACAACGCCATATGGTTCCAATATACTTCATGTATTAGCACTCTTTTTAGTCAGTCACCAACTTCAGTGAGTTTATTCCTTGTTATACCCAAAAAAAAGATGTTTCAAAGCTTTCAGTCCCATACCAGGGTAACACATAGCTTTATATGACCCTTACAAAGTCCACTTTTCAAAAGAAATCTCTGTGATAGAGGGACACTTTCTTTTAACGAATAACAGCACTAGAGTCAAGGTCCCAACTTACGGTACTACCACCAGCTGATAGAAAGGGATGCATTGGGGAAAATTCCTTCCTGCGCTCTCAACTAATACATGTTATTTTGTTGGATAAGTATTTAAGGAATTTACGGTAGTTGACAAGATAAATTTACGTCCGTGATCCATATACAATACATGTGTATTCTCCTCTAGGATTACTTCTTCAATTTGAATATAATTTTACACATGTAACTATCATGTTGTAAACAGTGGCTTCTGAGGTTTGGAAAATGAAGAGGATTTAGCAATCTCATGGAAGGTACAGTACGGTACCATATGACAACAACTGGTCAGTGGCTAGGAAAGTAATTTTCAGTTGATCTTAAAGCTCTTTTTTTTTGAACTTGGCATGCCTTCTTTTATTTGCATGATTGTTTGGCCATCCTGTTTGGGGGTTCACCTACATGTATGTAAAAATTAAGAGATTGGCATCTAAATTTCATTTATACAAGTACCCTGGTTTTAAAAAAGGGGAAAATAGAGAGGGAAAAACCTGGCTGGAGGAAATTTCTTTGGAGGATCCTTCCTGAGCCCTCCCAAACCCCCATTTTGCAAGAAATAATATTTGGCATGAAGTGTTCTCTCATAATCCTGCAAACCAATACCAGACCTCCTGGTACATTTTAATAGATCTACACTGTAGGTACATGTACTAGGGTTTTGT